AATGAGATTTTAAGAGTTCTTAGTTCTTCGCGATTGTTACACGTATACGAAATGAAATAGTTTTCGGATCCATAATAAGATGTATGATTTTTCATTTTTCATTATGAAGCAATTGCATGAAGTACTATTTACTAAGGAAGCCTCATTCACAAATCGAAAACTTCTTGTATTAGGTTTGCATGATGTCAAGACTTGCTAACAAAGCTCGTAAGTACCAGAACAATAAATACAGTAGTAGTGGTTAGATAGCGTCTCATGCGTGCCAACAGTGGGCCTCATTAAACCTACTTGAGCTCAGTCCGGCAATTTAGCTTTGTATGGTATAGTCGTGTCAATTCTTTCGCGTCAATTCTCTGAAATCGTAGAAAACTGCCTTATTGCTAAGAATATTACCCGTGGTGGTATTTCTATATCAACGACAAATCTTATTTAACTAAATTTTCTGTTAACCGAAATCATTTTTTAATTAGTATACGCTTTTTCTATAATAAGATAGAGCCCCTTGTGAAAGAGTTCGTCCAGGGAAGTACTGCTGCCTTACCTAATTCTGCCGCAAATTATTGCGTTTTGGTATTGGAGGGTAAGGGTGCTGGTGAAATTACAGGCACATGGGACTTGTACACTTACGTCTCAGGGTGACGAGCGCAATGGCAGTGCCCCTAAGATCTTTGTAATTTAAAGCTCAGCAACGGTTACGGATAGACGTGTCGCTTACCACCAGGTGCATGACTCTTTTTTTATGTAAAGAAGGAGGCAAACGAGCAGATGACCCACTTGAGCCACTTGATGGGAGGTAGTCATCGTCGCCCACGGACATTACAACATCAGATGAGCTGTCTATGCGTTGCCAGCCTTTGAGAGCCCTGTAAACACGCTTTTTGAAGAACCCCATGTCACAGTGCAAAGGCAAAGGCAAAAGGCTTCAGAAGGAAGATAATTCCACATCTTGCAGGTTTGAGGAAGGACCGAATGTGCTGCCCGCGTAGTCTTACAACGCCAGGCGTCTAAGATGTGGGGATGGACTCTACTCTTTTGGCGGGAAGTACGATGGTAGAAACTATACGGTGGCACCAGTTCCAAAAGTTCCTCAGAGCACTCCCTATAAAGACGGTAGAATACACACAGAGAGCCAACGTCTCTCCGTAGGCTAATGGAATCGATACAGTCTGCGAGTTTAGGATCATCGACAATACGAACAGCCCTACGTTGGATGGAGTCAAGTGGGTCAAGCTGATATTAAGGAGCTCCCACCCAGAGATGCGAGCAATACTCCATATGGGGCAGTACTTGTGTTTTACATAACTGTCTGCATTTTGAAGGGAAGTGAATGGGAAGTTAAGCAATTACAACAGCATCTCAATTCCATTCATCCAAAAATTAAATTCACGTATTAATTGGAGTCGGAACGAAGCTTGCCTTTTCTGGACTTAAAAGTGATAGGTCGAAATGACGGATCCTCGACGCACAAAGTTTACAGGAAGCCGAGATACACAGACAAGTATTTAAACGCTCTGTCTCACCGCCATCCCCGTCACCTACAGTCTGTTGTAAGATCTCTGATAAACAGAGCATATGACCTTTGTGATCCTGAATTCTTGGAGAATGAGATATCTCACGTTCAGAAGGTCCTTAGGTGGAACGGATACGGAGTAAACAGACGGCAACCACGGCGGAAAGCTAAAGGGAAACGTCCTGACGTCTTAAGGCAACCGGCGTTGCGGCGTGAAAGGAATAAAAAAAGGGAGCTCTCGCCCAGAGATGCGAGCAATACTCCATATGGGGCAGTACTTGTGTTTTACATAACAAAAGTAGGTGATCTGGTGAGAAGTACTGCTTCGCTCTATTGAGCACTCCGAGCTTTTTTGAAGCCAGTTTGGCTTTGTCTCCAAATGACTCCTGATCTCGACTTCGTTCGTGATGACGACTAGTTCGTTCCATCACTTATATATATAGGAAGAGATCTGAAGGGACACCCAGGCGGATTCTGCACAGAGATGTACACCTATCGTCAGAAAAGTGTTTATGATGTTACCAGGATATGAGTATACAAATACCTGTTATTGATTTTAACTTTGTTTCTGTCTTTTCTAGGTACAGGACGTACGAAACGTGAGTAATACTGATAATGATAGATAATAATATTAAAGAACCTATGATCGCTGTACGAGAGGAAGCGGGAGCGGTTTGGAAGATTTGGATTATTTTCAAATGTCTTTCGATGTGGCGATGGCCCTTAACCAATTGACCTACAGACCGAGTCAGGAGGTGTACTCCCGTTCTCTATCTGACGTACGTCCGAAACAAGTACCGTCAAATAAGTAATATTCGACAAAATTGAAAGACGGAAGACGCGTATGAAGCTTCATACTTCACATTGTCTTTCAATTTCGTCGAATATTACTTATTTGACAGTAATTTTTGTAAAATCAGTCTTTATTATCTTAATACAAATGTTAGATTAATATTTCTGGTTAAAGATCAGCACTGGGCTGTGACGGTGTGACCTCCTTATTTCGTCATCCCGCCTTTTTATCGCCTTTCTCCGGCTCCTGGGCACGCGTACTTAAATTTAAAATTTGAATTGTTCCATAGCTCTTTTGCCTCGCATTCAGATTTTGTTTCGTTCCATTGTCACTCCCTGCTCGATCGTGACAGCGTACGGAGCTGTTAAAATCCAATCGCGTCTAATTTTGATTCCTTTACTAAGTTTATAATCACTAGCAATCTAAATAATGTGCCAATTTTAATATGTTTATAACCACTACAGCCTCCATCATGTACCTATGAATACGTATCTGTAATTCAGTATAACTTGAACCTTTTGGGGTAAGTGTCTACTTAATATATTAATATTGAACAAGCTAGGAAGTGTTTTGTATTAATGTTTAATGTTTTCTATATATACCTTTTATTGTTACAGCCATTGACTTACAGATAAATGGACGACGGGTCTAATACAAAAACCACGAAAAAAATGTCCCAAGTCAACCTATTCGAAATTTAAATTGTAATGTCATCGCAGTATCGCGCTGTCAGTCGAACAAATGAAGACTAAAGCGGAGTTTGACGCTCTGTATACGATTTTAACGCCTTACAAGTGCTGACACTTTTTTCTGACGTCCATATAATTGTAAGTCAATGGTTACAGCCTTCTTTGTTACCTTTTCTTCTCTTTAACCGACCTTAAATAAATTTGTGGACTTGAAGTTTTCTGTTTTACTGCCGTGAACCTGGTCACGGCTTGTTAGGGTTACAACCCTTTCAAGGTTTCGTCAATAGGTATTAAAAAAAACTGGGACTTCCAAGAGATTTTTAACTTAAAAAACTAATCTAACCTAAAAAAATCTCGCCCCGCATCGTGCCTGACTCAAAAGTTCCCATTATACTGGCGGCATTGCCTCGCTGAACGGTAATGGATACTTGCTGAACCAACCACAACCCAGAGCTGTCATCGCAGCCCCTGTCTCTGAGTCGGCGACCCAACTCTTTAAACAACGCCCGAGCTTCCGAACCCCAAGGCCCCGCCGCCGTCTCGACCGCGACCGATACGAAGTTGTACATCAGCTCCAAGGCAGAATATTTAGCATGTTTATTTATAACAGTAATTGTTTTTCGGACGTATGTTGAACACAGAGTGGGAGTAGATCCCCAGACCTTGAGAATTTCATTGTGTTCGTTACTGATATTTGTATTGGGGTTTTAAAACTATAGCATATCAACCCCATCTAGTGCGCCCGAAGCATACTCGCAAGCTATCTACCCGAGTGATTAGATTAGTCTTTCCGAATGTAGATGGCGCTTGACGCCATCGACCCTGTTTTGCCAAAATATCACTTTTGATGACCATTGGTAATAACGAAACGGTTTTCGGTAAATTCCGTCTTTTGCATGATTACCGACCCGCACCCATTAGTATCCAAGAGTCCGCGTATAACACTGATTCGAGTTAAAATGAGTTTTTCATGTGCGTGCGTCTTTTTTGCTGTAATTTTGTATTAGTTCCTGTTATAAGTATTTATTCGTCGTCAGTGTACCTGTGAGAAACTTATGAAGTTACTCACTTTGTTACGCACCTCTACAGCTACCAGAACCTGACAAGAGATGTCGCTGTACTAGTTGTAATATTGATAAGTTTAAACAGATTAACATTCACAAAAGCGTCACTGTTTCAGAAATTGTAATTTCATATCAAGAATAGTATTTTTTTAATGAAAAGTAGTGACAGATTTAACATTAATACGAGGAATAAAAATAACTTGCTATTCTTGACAATTGCCTTCACGAAGCCACATGTATACGCTTCTTATAATAATAGGACCTAAATTTGTCATTTACGATGTTTAAGAAACAAAAACTTAATACACTCCCGGATACATAATTCGTGTCGTTTCGTGTTTTCCGTATTATTTAAGCGCCCTAAGTTTAAACAATGTTTGATTGATCAAAAATTATTATGCAATTTTGAAACTAGTATACTAAATACTAGTGTCCTTTTTCTTCTATGATAACACTATTTTTGTATTTTAGCCCTTTAGCTTCTGCGTACTTGGCTTTTTTAGCTTCTGCGTACTTGGATGACAAGAATCCGTGGTAGTGACCCGTTTAGTTCTTGCAGGGATTCTAGATATAAGATGTTTGTAATACATATTGTATTATGATAGATGTATTCAAATGTATACAAAGAGCAAACCCTAGAGTTTCTTGCTCGTTCTTCTCAGGGGAATCTGTCTTGCGAATGAACAGTAGGGTTTAGTCAGTATGACGATTTGCTTATCTATGAAATAAAGATTATTAAAACTTGAGTTTGATAATTCTCGCTTCCGCTTATATTACTATATCCTCACCTGTAAGCTAGCAACGACAGCGATATGATAAAATGAAGTATGAAGATAAGATATTAAAGTACGCCATTTTGTGTTATTCTGTGTTTCGGGACAGGAAAATACAGTTATATTTTTTTAACTAATTCGTTAATTGCCACTAATATAGTGTTACATGTGATTAAAAGTGTTATTTTATGTAAGTAATAATAAATTTAACTCTGGATACTATTGCCACGTCTCTTGTCATTGTTGAATAAACATGTTACATTTATGTAACATAATGTATACGTCTGGTAGCAGTAGATATCCTTGTGGAAGAGGTCGTCCATCGAAGTCCTGCCATCTTATCTATTTCTACCGCCAAGCAGTGTGAACTTGGAGTAAGGGATCTGCTGAAATTATAGCTCCATGGAACTTGTCAACTTATGTCTCAAGGTGACGGGCGCAGTGGCAGTGCCATCAGTTCTTTGCGATTTAAAGCTCTAAGGGGCACTGCAAGTGCTATGAACAGTCCCTCTACGTAAGCTTTGTTTATAGTGCCCCTATCAACCTCTTGGTTATGCGGGAAGGGCACTGTGACCTGTGCGAGCGAACCCGCATAAGTAGGGACCATATAAGTCAGGTAGTAAACACGGACACGGACTTCATCCGGTTCTCTGTAAGGCTAGTGCCTTAGGTGAGCCGCCCCGGGTGCACGTATACCACCATCCCTATTTTCCAGATAGTTACCGGAGCCGTAAGACACGCTCACTTCCCGACGCCGAATGAACGGTGTCTCTACAGTTCCCAAATTCCTACGCGGCCGGAAGGACCGGAAGATGTCTAGTTCATTCAATACTAGCTCTCTGGGCTAGTGCCGGTGATGCCAAGTAGCAGTGTCCTGCGACTATCCGGACATAGCTACCGACTTTAAGGGCAACTCACGTGCCCCCCGCGTCTCCTCGCCTCAGGCCTTCAACTAGACCGCAGCTAAGGCGCTCTAGCTGCGTGCGGGACGAACGCCCGGGCCACACACCACCGGGGCAGACGAACATGTTCGTCTCTGCAGCTAGCCGCAAACCCCGGCGAGTCCATACCCAAGTCCGGGTCCGCCAGACGTCGAGCCCGTAGTCTCTCGGTAGATAGGGAACTGCTATGGACAGTGTCGCTTACCACCAACCAGGCGCACGCACGGCTTGTTCGTGACGTTACTTGGTGTCATTAAATTAGTGCGTAACGGGATGTGAGCGTGTCAGGTACCTATTTGGAAAGTAGGCACTGTGCGTGCACCCGGGGCAGCTCACCCAAGGCACTAGCCTTTGGGAAACCGGATGCAGTCCGTGCAAACGGGCTGATCTGGGGCAGGACCTGACTGAGAAGGTCCCTGTGCGGGCTTGCTTGATAGGGAGGGTTACTACAAACATGTAGAAAGATATGGGACTGCACTGTATGGCAAACTTAATTTTTTATTGATATATATTTTATTATCAGTAAGATAAAGAAAACATGAGTCAATTTAGTTCTGAGGTGTCAAATAATTCAACGTCCATTTGAATGTGTCGAAGACTTTTTATATGACAAACATAATTTTACTTGATTACTACACTATCTTTAGCAAATTACACATTTAGGGAGTGTTAGATACCTCACGAAAATCGATAACGTGATACTGTGGTACTCATATAAATTTGTAACTATAGCTCTTTTGTATTACTGAGATTTTTGTTGGAAAATAACTCCACTTAAAAAAAACTTATTATTTTTTTATAATATCAAGTGATAAGACGAACAAGTCGTGGACCTGATAACAGTTGCAGTGCTACTCAGAGCTTTAAATCGCAAAGATCTGAAGGGCACTGCCACTGCGCCCAACACCCTCAGACATTAGTTGAAAAGACAAGTAGAAAACGCTACATCTAATCAATTAATTAAATTTCTATTGAAGAACCAAAGACAAACAACAATAAAAAGTTTTTTTTCAGAACCATGGACGGAAGAGTCGTCGGATTCGTTTTGACTCTATTCCTTGTTGGCCTGAATGCGGACGACGGTAAGTTAGTTACCATATGGTTATTGGTCATAATTATAACTTGATATTTAACTGAAGATATAGTTATATACTTAAAATCCAGAATATAGGAAAAAAAGGCGATTACATGTACCTACACAGATTGTCTATGATAATTGCCGTCTATATACTTAATAGAGTTTATTAGGGACATCATAACTAAACTCTCAAGTCCATAATAAAATTAAATGGTTGTCTTCAGCATCTATCTAGATAATAAAATATGTATATGTGACTTCTTCACTAAACCATTTGTATGTAGATGTTGTGCGACATCTAGTATCAAGTAGAATAACTAAATGCGTACTTCTTAATGCTGGTCAATTTAATTGTGTTTATGCATTTTTAAATCAATTACGTGGTAAAATAACGTATTTTTCTAATTGTAAAAAATAAGATTAACAGGTATTATTAAATGAAATAAAAACTCAACAACCTAGTTTTGCCATGTTTGGGTCAACGACCTAAAGATAAATTTATAAATAAATGAGATTTGGGGTTGCTCGATAATAAACAAGTTTTCGTACTTTTTCAATTCAAATAGCTTTACTACTACTACCACCATCTGTTATGTAGTAGAAGAACTAATTTATTGCAGTAGTGACACTGAGTTCCGAGTATTATCATGTCAACTGCTTGATTACTATCATATTGGTTTAAAGATGAAGGATAGAAATTTATAAACACTCTCTCTATAGGGAACCTGAGCCCAGTGGACACGGGTCGATATGGTAGCAGTTAAATCGCAGCAAACCTATTTCAAATAATAGTAAACAAATGAGTTTTTGTAGTAGCTACAAGGTGCTCATAGATGGCGTTAGTTGTATTCCAAAACATTCCTATTTGTATTCATAATTATACGTGAAAGTGTTTTATATACTTCGAATGTACATAGATATTTGTAATTTGATTTTTCGGAATATATGCGCGAAATTTAATCTGAAATTTACCATAAGCTTTTCGGTCAAGGAAAAACATCGTGTTGAAGTCTGTACGTCGAATAAGGTTCACAACCTTTGGAAAACGTGTAAAGTCCCCAACAGCATTGGCCAGCGTGATAGACTATGGCCTAAACCCTCGCCTGAGAGGAAATCCGTGCTTAGCAGCTGGACGTATAACGATTCGATGATGATAGACAAAAGCTATATATTTATAGCCATTTAAATCTTCTGTTTTTTTTATTATTGTGTCACATTATAACGTTAAAAAAAGGTTCCGCGGCCACAGCTAAGTGAGATGGTAAAGACACCAACCAGTTACGTTTAATATTAATGCAAAACATCCTATTTTGTACTATGCGTGGGGCCCACTAAAGTTTCCGGAATTAATAAGAAAAAAATACTATAAATGGTCAGCAATGAATTTATTGTTTCTCAAAATATTCTCCGTTAACGTTAATGCACTTTTTCATGCGAATGAACCAATTTTGAAAACATTTATGTCACTCCTCCGTGACATCTCTGAAACATATTTTTCATACTCTTCAACAGCCTCTTCAGGTGATGAAAATCGTTGACCGCGTAACTGATTCTTAATTTTTGGAAATAAATAAAAGTCACAAGGTGCCAGGACGGGACTGTACGCGGGATGGCTCATAAGGTCAACGTTGTTCACCTTAAAAATTCATTTGTCTGTCTGGCCGTGTGAGAACTGGCATTATCGTTGTGCAAGATGATACAGCGCTTACGGTTATTTTTACGGAGTTTGTCAATAACTTCCGGCAAACAAAATGGTCTTGTACCAATCACCACCACGGTACAACGATTCTCCAAAGCAATAGTAGTCAAAACAAGCAATCATCCGCTTAGAAGCACTTTGCACACGCGCCACTTTGGTCGGTTTCGGCTCATCTCGAAAGACCCATACCATCGATTGCTGCTTTGTTTTGGGATCGTAATTATAAATCCATGTTTAGTCACCTGTTACTATGTCCCACACCAAATTTGACGCCCCTTCGTTGAATCTGGTAAGCATGGCGTTGCACCAAGTGACGCTATCCGTTTTTTGAGCTTTAGTCAAATTGTGTGGGATCTACCGAGAGAACCGCTTTTTCACACCCAAATGTTTGTGTAGTATTGATTGTATTTGACTCATGGCTATGCCTAGATGCCCGAATCTCATGGTAAGTCACATGCTTGTCTGTTTTGATCATACGGCGCACAGCATCGATGTTTTTGTTGTTCACAGCAGTGGACGGGCGACTATCACGAAATTTGTCACTGAGATTCACACGACTGCATTTGAATTCTGCAAACCAGCTATAAATAGTCGTCTTGCATGGTGTTTTATCGTCAAAAGTAGTTTGAAGCCGAGCGAAGCTCCGCTGAGCTGTTAAGTTACACTTAAAGTCGTAGAAAATCATACTACGAAAATTTTCACGAGTTATATCCATGGTGATGGAGACAACCAACTTCTAAAATGACGTCACAATGTAAAAACAAACTGTATTCTACAGCCAAAGAGTTCCATTTTCAAATGTTGTAATTACTTTTTAAATATTGTTTATGTAAGTGGCCAGTTCCGGAAATTTATAATGCGCCCTATGTTGTTACGAAAGTTATTATTAATTTAAATACCTTACGCCATATACGTTTTGCAAAATATTTTATTTTAAACAATATTAATTTTTATTAATGAAATTTATTATTTAAATTTTATATTGAATTGATATTTAATTATTTTTATGTGAGTTTACTCCATTAGTTTGTTATAATTATTAATACAAACATCTAACACTCAGAAAAATTCCTTTGATCCGGTCGGATTCGAACCGACATCTTCTAGCATACATTCGAATACAGCGGGATCGAATTTTTTTTTTGAGTGTTCGATCTTTGTATTAATGATTAAATTTGTTATTTAAAAGGAAATTAGAAATAAAATAAAATATTATTATACCATTAAAAATAATTGAAAATGTTTATTGTTTTTCAGATCAGTTGAAAGTAGTCAAAGCTGTCGAAATATGTAGATTCTGCAAATGTACAGATGGAGCTGTGGATTGCCAATATCAAAATATTACGACCTTCTTCAAAAAGGAGCAATGGGACTGTAAGTTCTTTCATCTCATTCGCGATAACCAGTGGAAAATTGATTTTTTTTTATGATTCATTTATTTATTTATTTGGGATAACAACAGCAATAATGATAGGCATTGACTTACAAATAAATGGACGACGGGTCTAATACAAAAACCACGAAGAAAATGTCCCAAGTCAACCTATTCGAAATTTAAATTGTAATGTCATCGCAGTATCGCGCTGTCCGTAGAACAAATGAAGACTAAAGCGGAGTGTCGCGCTCTGTATACGATTTTAGCGCCTTAAAAGTGCGGACACTTTTTAGCGCGGACCCGACGTCCATATAATTGTAAGTCAATGATGATAGGTTACAATAAAGTCTTTCCATTTTTACTGGGTATTGGAAGAAAAATATTAGTCTCGGATCGAAACGCGCATGCGTAAATATTTAACCTTAATCCCACTTCCAAGCAAAAGATCGTCTTTTTTTCCAAATTATTTTTCTTTCCATTTTCACCGTTTTACAGCAAACAAACACAAACCGCGAATTACCAGAGTAAAAAAATGTATGTCTATGGTCCCTTTGGATCATTTTTGAATGAATGGTACTATATATCTAAGCGAATGAGCGAAGTTCACAAAGAGAAATGGCGGGTTCTTATGTAGTTTTGTGGGTTTTTGTGTTTCAGTTTTTATGCAAATTAATGTTCAGTTTAGGTATTATTACGAAAAATTCGCAGTAACCGATTGTCAAAATCTTGATTGATTAGCGGAATTATCGATAGTATCGAGTAGTATTGATATGTTATAACAATTATTTTCAATTCGTGCTGTTCTACTTAATGCAATCTGTAATAATTCCTATTCTCATGTTGGATTTAATAGATATATAATAGAATAGAATACGTTTATTTGCCAGAATACAGTAATTACAAAGGTCTTAAGTAAAATTAGGTACATTGTATTCAACCTGCAAGCATATGTGCAAATATTAATGGGATTCAATGTTTCTTTAGTCTCTATAGTTTCTAATTAATGTAATGAATTTGTAAATTCTAAGTATTCTTTATTACTATAGAAGCAATGTGTCAAAAGCCATTTTGTCAATTTTAATTTAAAAGTATGTCCTTGTAACAATTTAATTTCGTTTGGTAATTTATTGTAAATAATTATACACATGTTGAAGCAGTTATTCTTATAAATTACTTTATGGCAACGAGGTTGGTATAAGAGATTCATAATTTTTGGTCTAGTTTGCCTTTGAATGACTTCACCGCGTGTTTTAAAATATTGAGGATGAGAGTTGACAAATACGCAGATATCCCTAATGTACATGCATGGCAAAGGTAATATGTTCAGCCTTTTAAACAGCGGTTTGCAACTGTCATCGAACCACGCAACCCAAATTGTATAAGTTCTTATTATTTGTAAAATATAATCGCAACGTAACGAATAACGCAACGTGTAACGCTATGCAATGTCGGGATTAATAAATTGAAACCGTAAAAGGGTCGCCACAGAACAGGCTTAGGCCTAGTGTGGGACCACCTGTAATGATTCACAATGTTTTCAGGCATGGCATCACGTTATCAATGCATGTTTTTGTTAATGTTTTAAACATTCTTAATGTTAATTTAGCATAAGTCTCTTGTTCTTTTCTTAAAAAAGTAAATATGTTAAGTATTTTGTTTTTCTTTGTGTTTGTGATGGCAAATAAACATATTCTATTCTATTCTATATAAATTATACTTATATCAAATGTATATAATTATATAAACATATGAAATAAGCAGTCGTTCATAGGCGATGGTGACCGCTATCCATCCGGCGGGCTTGTTTGCTGCTTACTTAATATAGTCTTAGTATAGAAGTCTCGTAACTCTCGTTTTTCTGGAAATTTCGCGCACCTAGTCTCGATTTTCATTCCCGAGTCGCAGAAATATAGCTAGACTGGAAGTACCTAGCATTATTGGTTTTAATTTCTTTTTCAGTGTTAAAAGACTTGAAACCAACCAACGTGGATCTAAGCGACAACTTCTTTACAAACATCACTGGAATAGCAGAACTCCCTATCGAAGTATTAAACCTGTCCAGGAGTCGAGTGGAATGGATTGAGAATGGCAGTTTTAAGAATTTAAAACAGTTAAGAATTTTGGATTTGAGCCATAACCGTTTGACGGCAGCAAAGCTAGGTCCACATGCTTTTGAGGTAACTATAGTGTCACGTGTAATGTAAATCACAAGGACTGCTAATTGCGGTACAAGACAGCGTAGTTGGGAGCAAGAAAGTCTAGGGATTGCTCTTTTCAAATTTACTTAAATGCTATGGAATACACGTTGAATCATAATTGTGAGGACTCTAGACTCATGTTGTCTTTCCATATGTCTTTATCTAGCACGAAGACTACAATTTTCTAATATGATTTTTCGATCAAAATATTTTTAATGTAGTTTTTAAACTTAGGAAATGATAAACTTAATATATGCTTCGGAATCTTATTGTAGAAACGTATACAGTTGCCCATAAAATAATCGTTTACCTTAGTTACCCGAAATCGTGGTACCATGAGTTTGGACTTAGTTCTAAGGTTAATATTATGGATATCTTCGTTCTTAATGCTATTAATTGTACATTATGTATTATGGACGGTAAATAAGAAAATACTAACGAAAGTCTATTAGAATCCCCGAGGCGAAGGCTAAAAAGTTGAGTTTTGTATTTTTTTTACCGTCTGTGATATATACAATGTTTTTCCTTACATTAGCGAGGCAATAAATACAATGTTTAGGTTTTATAGGTTAAATTATGGTTACAACACAATAATTATGGATTTTGCAAGTGTTTTTTTTTATCGAACTAAAATGGTCTTTAAAACAAAGACGCATACAGCCATGATGGACTGTAAAAAACATTGCAAAATTTTTATATAGTAAATAATTAAAATCAATTATAAGAAATTGTTAATAATAAATAATAATTATTTAAGTAGTATGTGGCTGAATTGCAATAAAATTTCTGTTTAGATAACATTTTAAGCGAACGTTTTAATTTTGAACTTAAGTAACCTCATTGCTTGAGCTTGAACTTGACTTAAGTAAGGAAGTATGTTGTGCTACAACATTGACTTACAATTATATGGACGTCAGGGCCGCGTTAAAAAGCGTCCGAACTTATAGGGCGTTAAAATCATATACAGGGCGTCATTCATGCTTTAGTCTTCGTTTGTTCGACCGACAGCGAAGCAAGCAAAATTAGACAGTACTGCGATGACATTACAATTTAAATTCAACGTTTTAGCTTTTTCATATTCTTTTACATGTCACTACGTTTAAATAGGTTGACTTGGGACATTTTTTTCGTGGTTTTTGTATTAAACCCGTCGTTGTAAGTCAATGTGCTACAAATTAAAAATAAACTCCTTCCCGACCATGGCTGTAATGGGAAGAAAAAAGGCCCGAGAGAAGAGGAGTTATTTGGGGCATTAGAGTCAAGTTAGCCACCATGCAATCATACTACTTACGAGCAAGTGTGATGAAAAATTATGTTAAAAGAGGACTAGGTTAAAAATATTTATGTAATACGTTACACGTCCAAGTTTGCGCCAGGAAATCACACTAATTCTCAAAACTTTTACTTTCCAGGGCAACTATTCTCCGGAAGAATACGAGCCTCTTCCTTCTATGCGCGTTCTGAACCTTGCATACAACGATTTGCATTCATTGAACTCGGATCTTTTCGAACACTTGCCTGAGCTCACAGAACTGGACCTAAGCGGAAACCCCTTGGGTATAATCGACCACGTCACTGTGATTGCAATATCCAGTTTGCCTATGTTAAAGGTAAGGTTAATTAACATCTGATGCTTATCAGGTAGGTAGGTAGCAGTGGCGAGGCGTCCATATTATGACGGGCCATGAATAACGGCGATGGCTATGTAATCAGTATAGTCCTCAGAGGCTGAGTCATGGACCCTTTTGATATTTTTTTATTATTATTTTGTATGCTTCTTTTTTTATTTTAATTGAATTTATTTTTATAAATTTTTTGTTGTTTTCTTTGAAATTTATGCTTGTCAAATAAAGGCTATTTTGTAACCGACTTCAAAAAAGGAGGAGGTTCTCAATTCGACTGTATGTTCTTTTTTTTTGTATGTATGTTACGCGATAACTCCGGTATTTGTGAACCGATTTTCATGATTCTTTTTTTGTTGGAAAGGGGGTACTTCCATAGTGGTCCCATTTCATTTTGAAGAAAATCATCCACCTCACGCATGAAGATTCATTTTTATAAATAGCGCCTAACTTTAATTTAGGAGCAATTACTTTAATGGTTGATTTTGCTATTTCTCCACTTCAAGGCGTCAATTTTTCTCTCGATATACTTTGAGTAGTGTCGTAGTGAGAACCTATTTTTATTATCTCCAGTGTCAAATCCTGTATAGTAGAGAACTAGGGGCTATTTCAATAAAACTTAGCAAATAGACGTAATTCCACGTACTTTTGAGGTCGGTTTTTTTAGTACTCTGTACTGAGATTATATTTTTATATTTTATATAACTCGTTTCCCACCGGTTTGCCTAAAATATGCCACGGTTTTAGTAGTAATTCACTGAATTTGTGCTCAATTTGATGTGGAGAATAACTTAACCAGTGAAATGAAGTGTACTAGTATGTGTGTGCTAATAAATGTTGCGGTTATGTGCCATCTTTTGGCATTTTTTGTTAGGTTTGCTGCTGCTTTACTAACGACCTTTTTCACACCTCGCAATTGATAGGTAGGTGTGTAAGTAGGTAGGTAGTAGAAGTAGGCTGACCGTATCTATGATATGTGTGCACAGAGGTTTGCACGTTGTTGCGACCAGGTTAAGGTTGTGCTTTTCAAAGCACATTTGCCAGTCCTTCTACACATGTAGCCTATGAGTCAACTTTATGTAGCGTGTATACGGCGCACTGCGCGTCCAATATGATAATGCTTTTGGGGATACCTATCAGTAGCCCGAAATGACATTTTCCAGAAATAAAGTTTGCTCGAATTTTCATAACCTCGAAAGTGATTTTGAGAGGAAAATGTTTTTTCTTTTAAACCTAACTTAACCTAACCTAACCGAACCTAATCGTGTCTTTGCGATAAAGATCCAACGTATCCTGAAAGTACAACGGTTTCGTTATAATTCGGTTTTCGGTGTAATGAAAATTCGAACAAACGATATTTCGGAAAAAAAATTTCGTGTATGTGATAGGTTACCTGCTTTTAGGGTGCTATTCAGGTTGCCGCTGTAGTGTCCCACTACTGCTTCTATTCCGTTATACGAAAGGGTTGTGCCTCACTCCTGACTCGGCTTTTCTCGCATCTCGTATGTCACTCTCGTCGTCACGTCGGGCCCTGCCGTGCTAACCCTACCGTAATGCTAGTCCTACGGGTCTAATAGTGTAACAATAAGTGCGCTTAATTTACCTCCATCTCACCTGACGGAAAGGACGATGAGGTCGACGATGGATAGTGCACACCTAAATAATGCCTATTAACTCTTGAAAAGGCCCAAATTATAACGTTCAGGGAACAAGACTGCAGGCAAGGAATTCCACTCCATAGCCGTTCGCCATATAAATGTGTAACGCTTCGAGGGAATGTTTGGAATATTCACAATATAGGGGTGGAATCCAAGCCTACGCCTAGTCCCCCGATGATGGAAAGGGGAAGGCGGAATTAAATCGTGTAATTCCATCGCATAGTCTCCGTGACATATCCTGTAAAATATAAGCAGGCAACTCTACGACAGTCTTATAGGCTACCAGTGAAAGAATTTGTCCAGAGGAGTACCGCTTTACTGTTTCCACCACCAAGCAGTAATGCTCACATTACTGCGTTCCAGTTTTGAAGGGTAAGGGTGCTGGTGAAATTACAGGCACATGGGACTTGTCAACTTATGTCTCAGTGTGACGGGCGCAGTGGCTGTGCCCTTAAGATCTTTGCAATTTAAGTGGCACTGCAACTGTTATGGATAGGCGTGTATTTTTATGAAAAAAAAAGTAATGTAAAAAAAGCAAATGTTTCATGGACTCTACTTGGTGTATATCTCTTAGGCAATTTACAATGTTTTGCAACAGTTTCAAAGCTCATGTTTTGCTCATTTCAGGTCCTGCGTATGCGGTCGTGCGAGATTAAGGATATTCCAGACAAAATGCTGCACACGCCTCGCTACCTTGAACGATTGGATCTCAGTGATAACCTGCTAACAACAGTGCCACAGGTTTTTATCAATTGTGTTAAAATGTTAACTTTAATTAATTTGAAAACACCGTGTGGAAAGTTTCAAGTATCCAATTCGAATGGTCCAGAACTATTCTGGCCAAAATATGTACTAAACTAACGTCCTTCCGACATTTTGGTTCTAGAGCTTTCTTACGCATTTAACAGAAAAAGGAAAGTAATTCCAGCTTTTTGGTTGAAATTTGTATTTATTAAATTGGCTTAAAAAATTCTTAAAACGTCATTTACTAATGATACAGTAAGAAAGTCATATCAAAATGTAATTCACGGCCATTGACTTACAATTATATGGACGTCGGGTCCGCGCTAAAAAGTGTCCGAACTTATAGGGCGTGAAAATCGTATACAGAGCGTCATTCACGCTTTAGTCGTCGTTTGTTTCTTCTGACAGCGAAGCAAGCAAAATTAGACAGTACTGCGATGACATTACAATTTAAATTCAACGTTTTAGCTTTTACATATTCCTTTACATATCAATACGTTTAAATAGGTTGACTTGGGACATTTTTTTCGTGGTTTTTGTATTAGACCCGTCGTCCATTTATTTGTAAGTCAATGTTCACGGCTAACTTTTTTTTATAATATCAAGGGACGGGACAAACAAGTCGCGCACCTGATAGTTAAAGGTTAAGTTTGTTCAACACATTCGCGCGATAAACATTTGTAAGTGATGTAGAACAACGTAACGTATTTTAATAAAGTCTTTTAATTATTTTTCATCACATTTAACAATGTGTTAAAAAGAAACAGTGCCATGACATGTAGGCAAAGCCGACCGTAATGTCATAAATTATGCTCACGGGCTTTTATATTATTGCCCTATGGATTTTTCACGTCAAGACGTATATTTCGCATAAACTTGAATTATAAAAAAACATTGTATTGTAGCATGTTGAAAACTATTCTGCCAAATCATTACGGTGACAACTGCGCTCCGATTGGCCAGCCCGAATTCGAAACCTTTGACGGATGTCGTTAATTGTTTCATTTCTAAACGACCAGTTTAACTTGAGCTTTGAACGAAATTGGAAAAATTACATATTTACATCACCGATGAAATGTGATTCCGTTTGTTTTGTAATTAGATGGTTTGCTGTTTTCCCACACCACGGAATGGAACAGCCGTTAGATATATTATCTTTATTACAATAAATACAGATTTTTTATGGAATATACGGAGACATACTCACAGGTCAGTTGTTGGCGCTGTACTAAGCGTTGATATTTAAAAGTGATATAAGGCCCGCTACTCATCATAGATGGCGCTACGACTAAAAAGTCGTTGAAAAACCAAATACAAAGACACGACCCAAGCACATAGCAAAATTCGTGAGGTCTGCTGGTTCGTTCCGTTGCTTAGTTGGTATAGCGTCTGGCACGGTAAGCTAGAAGACGTTGGTTCGATCTTTGTATTAATAATTACATTTCAATTCTTCTGAATAATACAATCGCGCGTGTGCTACCGCCGCTTACATCAGATTCAAGCCAGACTCGCCCGCGTGTCCGGTACGCTCATTTAAGTTAAAACGTAAAACTATTTAAATAGAGCGTATTTTGCCATGACAGCTAAACGCACGCGGTCGCTGCGCGGCGGTTTCGCGGACTCCGCTCGGCGGCCGCGTGGGGTAAGCGCGATGAAATTCGAATAAATGCACCCTTAGGAATTGTGTTTTGACACCGTATAGCAATTAGTATATATCCTCAATTTTACTTTACTTAATATATTTTTTCAAATTGATTGATTCAACACTTTCACTGTTATGCGGATTCAACCAAAGTCATTTGAGGTTGTATAGACACTTAATGTATGAGAAAAATATCTGCCACAGCCATTGACTTACAATTATACGGACGTCGGGTCCGCGCTAAAAAGTGACCGAACTTATAGGGCGTTAGAATCGTATACAGATACGTCAATCACGCTTTAGTCTTCGTTTGTTCGACTGACAGCAAAGCAAGCAAAATTAGACAGTACTGCGATGACATTACAATTCAAATTCAACGTTTTAGCTTTTTCATATTCCTTTACATGTCACTACGTTTAAATAGGTTGACTTGGGACTATCCTCGCGCGAATGTGTTAACATTTTTCTTCAGAGTGATCTACTCGAAACCAAATGGTTGGGTATCTTGGGCCATCTGTACACCATGTCCCGAGTCCTGCTTTTAGAGGTAAATGTGTACATAGGGTATTCTTATAAGACGCTGTTTCAGGAACTGCAAGAAACCAAGAATCTTCTTTTTTTGAATCTGAACCAAAATCCTATCAAAGAACTGGACGTAACCTCTGAAGACAATCCGTGAGTTATGATTTTTTTTTATTGCTTAATGGAATCTTATCGAGTTCTTAGGTTTTCGCGATTGTTGCACATAGGAAATGAAACTATTTTTCCGGATTTAAATCGCGTATATTTGTTTTATCAAACAAACCGACGTTTCGGGCCCTTTACAGGTCCTTTTAAATCCGGAAAAATAGTTTCATTTCCTAATGGAATCTTCTTCTTCTTGTGGTGTCTCTCGAATTATAGAAAGTTGGCTACCAATTCTGCACACCCTCGATCAAGTGTGACGTGTAATAAGTCGCCTGAGCTCGCAACTTCCGTCCATTCTTTAATATTATCAAGCCACGCCTTTTTCTGCGATCTACTATCCTTCTTCCAGCAATCCTTGCTATCAAAAGTAACTGTATATGTGATGTTTAGCGACATGACCTAGATAAGCAGTTTTTTACGTTTGATGGTTAGTAGGAGTTCTGTGTTGTTACCTTTACGTCGCAGAACTTTCTCTGTAGAATGTTAACAATCATTAACTGATTCTTAACTGAAAGAACTTGTCGTTGTCAAAACTATGATTATTGATGACCTTGAGTGATTGAATGGTCAATTGAATAAACAAAAGTGTGCCTTGAGTATGACGCCAAAGATACCCTTTCCTTTGCGCTCTGTAGCTGTATCTGCGCCTTTTATCTATTTATATCACGGTTTTTCCTGTTGGTTCCATTCTTGGATCCACTAGTCCCATAACAATTTTATTGCCGCTTAGATCTATAAAACGCAAAGATCTGAGGGGCATTGCCACTGCGCCCTTCACCCACAGATATAAGTTGACAAGTCCCATGTGCCTGTAATTTCATCCTTACAATCTTGGATGTAGGCCTCTTCCCATTTCTTCCACTTTTGGCGATCTTGTCTTGACTTGACTTGACTCATCCAGTCCTAAACTCCGTGTCGTCGGATGTCGTTCAATCAGTGCTGCGGAGGTATGCCGCGCCCTCACTCCACTCAAGTACTCGCCTTGTCCAGCGCATCTCGTCCATTATCGCAATGTGTCATCAAATCATCGATATTGGAGTTTTGCATAAGATAGTGCATGGAGGCATGTCGTCGCCAGAGGCTCTTGCCCTCACTAATTTTAACGTTCCTCGTAAAGTGCCTAGGTACCCCATAGTCAGAACATTTGTTTTGTCTAGTGGCAGGACTAATCTTGGAAAGTATGCCCCCTTGAACAGACTCATGCAGTCATACAATGACTTAATTACGACTGGAGACGGCGACATGGATATTTTTAATATAAAAAATACTAAGCAGTTTCTTCGTATATGCTAAGCAATTTGTTTGAACTTGTGAAACTTGTAAATATCTATTATAGATAACTAATTATTACTGTAATTTTATATTTCTAATTATATATTTTCTTTAGTATCTCATTGGTTAACATTAGATTTTTAGTGATGTATACACCTGTAGTGACTTGGCACCTTGTATAGTGAACCTGTGTGTATTTTTTTTTAATATTGTTTTGTCTTAAGTTGATGACATCATCTTTAAATAAATACATAAATAAATGCCACTCTGCACGACTCGGAACCTCTCGGCGGATTTCTTTGTAAGAGTCATGGTTTCCGTACCATAGACGAGCACTGGCATGACACACTGTTCGAAGACTGACTTTGAGATGTAGGGGTATTGTGACACGTAGCGTTTGTTTGTTGGCACCGAATGTAGCCCACGCCTGATTGATCCATCGTTCCACTTTCACTGTTTGGCTCTCAAGGCCCAGAATAACCTTACGTCCCAATGATTATTTAATTAATTATTATTAAGATTTAATTATGTATTAATTATTTCTTGTAAATCATTTAATTATTCGTTATTGTTAAATGTTGTGTTCTTATAGTACTAATAGTGTGACTTGTAACTTTTTGTTATCAATAACTATGACTATGGGACTTGAACCCACGTCCATGCTGCACCGTAACATTGCTATTTGGCTACTGAGCGACGGGTCCAGTTACCGAGCCGTCGAAATTCTTCTACGTGTTTTTGTTATACTATCTATTTCAAAATAACTTTTCTTCTAGTGGCTTTCCGCGACTGCGCAAATTGCAAGAACTTCACATGTGCAATATGGCGCAACTCCGCCGTATCGGCGCGGGCTCACTTTCCGGTCTCGAAAGCTTAAGTAAGCTGCACTTAAGTTTGAATCCTCGACTGACTGAGATTGATGCCAAGGCGTTGGCAAGAGCTGATGATATTGGGGAGACTTATGTTTGGCCGCCTATTAAAGAGGTTAGTGAAATTTTTTTTTTGTAATACTTGAGTTTTGTGACAACTTCGTCAATTATCTTCCATGCGCAACCCAAACATAAGGTGCCATGGTCTGTATTAATAGTGACCATGGGACCTGTAAAGGGCCCGAAGTCCCGAAGTCCGGGAAAATAGTTTCATTTCCAATGTGTAACAATCGCGAAAACCTAAGAACTCGATTTATATTATATATTTTATATATTTTATAATATATATTATTTTTTGATTATAAAATATTTGAGTAAATGTACTGTGATGCCACAGTCATGATACCAGTCTCCTTAAACTTTTCTCTGAGAGAAACCCAAGAGCCTAGACGGTACACAGAACGAATCGCTCGTTTTTGCAATACAAATATGGTTTGAATATCTGCCGCTTTACCCCACATGAGAATCCCGTAGGACATTATACTATGGAATCCTGTCTCGTTCTTTCCACATGCATCGCAGCCTGCGAAGGCTGGTGGATTTTACTTCGCCGATTGGTTTGGATTAGACACTAGCTCTTTGATCTCTCTATTGAATCTGGGCCAGATTCAATTGAGAGATCAAAGAGCAAGTCCAGTTCCTAACTAATTGTTACGTCTAAATAAAAATGATCCTATTATTCACAATAAAATTGATTCAATATTTAAAAAAAAATTTCAAATCATGTTTTCTCAATTCCATCATTTTTGAGTTACGATAGTATTTGCTTTCATGTGAGAGTGATGTAACAAAATCTTTTCCTATAGTTGATACTATTTGGTGTAAGTTAAGGAAATTATCTTCTTAAACATTATCTTCGTTATCCATAGGAAAAAATAATATTGCCTTACAAAGATAGCCCTTGTTTAAAATATTCCAGTGTCTCATTTAGCAACAGTCAAGCTGTTCAACTTTGTGTTGGCATCGCTTTTTTAAACTTGACCTTGTGTTCGTTTTTTCAGCTCTACCTCCACTCGAACAACCTTTCTGAGATTGATTCTAACTTAATCGCAAGATGGGACCTCGTTGATGCCATAGACGTCTCCAATAATCCGTTCATGTGCGACTGCACGACGCAGTGGATGGTCGACATACTTGTGCCAATTGTTGAAGGGACGAAGGCGAATTCTAGTGCTATGGTGTAAGTACAGCAAACATAAGTCCGATCGTACTTGTAGTACCGCTGCTCCTATGTGTTAGTTATGTGATGGTTCTGCTGAATACCAATTGGGCATCATGGATTCTGTTAAAAAGCGTGGCAAGAGGCTTATAGGTAACTCGGATTTAGTAGAGGCGAAGCTATATATAATATATCTTAAATATTACGTAACATAGGAACACTGAAACCCGTTGCTCATCGCACCGAACTAGCAACGAGAAATCCGCCAGTAATCGGGCCCCGATTTTACGAACACCTACGAGCAAGTCTAAAAAGTGTTACAAATGACGAAGTGTTTTGTTCCCGACTGAAAGACCTGTTATTGGATAATGAATTCTTCTGCAGTGTAGAGGAATTTCTTTTAACGAAATTGTAATTATATTTTTAATTTTGGGCGTTTGTATTTTGAAAATATTACAATTTTTATTTGTATTTTTGAACTTCGCATTTTTTTAAATTTCTGTTTTAATTATTTTATTTTATAATTAATGACGATCATGTTATCCCTTGACATTATATTTCAAATTGTAATATTATGAAATTGATAATAAGAAATAAATTATCTGTTCTATTCTATAGAGCCTTAAGCCGGATTTACATTTGTCTGACGTGTCGTGTCGTGACGCGTCAGAATTGCATCGGTTTCAAACATTTAATATTGTTAGATTTATATTAGTGACGGCTCGTGTTATATCGCCTCAGATGCGATCCCGGTCTGTGTCAGGATGGTTGATGTGGGGCAGCGGAGTGGCCGCGACAAGTCTGGTCAGACAAGTGTGCATGTGCTGTGTTGTGATGCTTTAACGCGTCCGAATAGTGCCTTGGTCATTCTAAAACATTTATTTAATCCTTCATCATCGCTCTTATGTTCTATAACGAGACAGTGAAACTAGCCTTTAGCTTCTCTTTTTTTATTCACTGAATGAACCCAATATGTTCTTTTATTTCTTTCTTTTTTTAGTATAGTTGCCATAATCACAAATTGAATATCTTCTTCAATATTGAATTCTATTCTATTCAATAAAAATCTAATATCATTATATTCAATAAATTAACTATTGTAATTGATATAAGTTCTTATTTCACAGATGCCACGAGCCGATAGAGATGCGACCTTTTACAATGAAACATCTCCATGACATCCACCGTACCATGCGATGTGTGGACAAATACGGCCATCGCCCCGAGAGAGACGGGGCCATTCTTATGGGCACTCTTATTGGTGCGTAAATGAACAGACTAATTAGAAAAAAATCTACCTTGTTCGGCACAAACAGATTGCTCAGTGTAAAAATCTATAAACCAACTAAGTTTAAACCCCACCTAAACTATATTTTTCAGGAGTACTTCTGTCAGTTCCCATCATGCTGTCCCTGATGTTGCTCTGGCGTCGAGGCTACTTCGCCTGCATCGGCATACGAGGCCCTGTGGACGTCTCGCGAGCATTTTACAAGAGAGCACCTGGTGATGATAACTTTGTGTATAATAATAATTAACTTAATTTCTTGAGTTATTTCAGTTTTGTCAAGATGGACAAGTCACACCCGTGGTGTATTAAGACCACATTAGCAAAATGTACTATTACATTTTTTCTAATATTGATCTTTTTGACACCACACTTATCAAATTTTAAAAAATTGGCACTACAAATTGTAAATGGTGTTTAATTACATGGGCAACTTCATATTACATAATTAATATGCTTTTTAATCTATTTTAAATATCTGCTGTAAAGGTGAATGTGGACAAATATCTATTTACAAAGAGCCACACCTCCTAGTAGAATCTGTCTTATGAATGGGCAACAAAATGTATGCGTCATTTGTTTATCTATGAAATAGAATTTTGAATATGATAGAACGAACGAAAACATAGCTCCCCGTCCCTGCGTTCTTCCTAAGGCGTGGACTATCTTATTCGGTCATAATACACTATAACAATATTATGCATAATGTAATTAATATATTACAATATTTAATGTAACTGTAATGTAAATGTTATTTAACAGCAAGTAATATTATTTTATTTGTAATAAATTATATAGTAAGTTATGTAGTTTTTACTGTTTTTGGATTGCGGAGGAACAGTTTAACGTTGACGGCGTTTCAGTGCACCCAAAATGAAACAAAATGTATATTTTAGTATAAAATGTATAGTTTACGATGCAATATTTTTTTTTTCGGTACCTGCAATGCAAACTTTTTATGGGTATATTGTAAATTCCACCTCATGGGCTTGCGTTTTGTATACAATTTGGCATGCGCCGAGATTTCTATAATGATTTTCGGCTTAACAGAAATTTTGTTATTGATTAATGTTACTTAATAGTATTTGAAGGAAAATTATAATAAAATAATGAACTCGATTGTTGCGATAATTTTTTTGTTTTTATCTTTTTTACATTTATAGTGGTGTGATTTAAATTTATTTCAAATAAAACTGTAATTAGAATTATTAATGTTCTTTTTATTTCCTTTTCTGTTTCAAGGGTTCGTCATTGGCAAGGATATTTATCTAGTCCAGAATTTTGTATACATTTCAAATCTCTTATATTACCGTTCTTAGACTATGCAGATTCCTGCTATTTAGATGCTACTAAAGAACTGCTAAATAAGCTTGAACGGTTAGCTCTAGTGCATATCGTCTCTCTTCTTTACAACATTCTACATAATCCTTTGTCTCCCAGGTATCTGAAAGAGCGTTTCAGCTTTCTCAGATCCCAGGATAAGCCTTGTCGCTCTGTCGTTAGGTCCCAATTATCTTTTCCATCATTCAATTCCGGTTTTTATTCTCACTCCTTTACTGTTCATGCGGTCAGACTTTGGAACGCACTTCCCATTACTGTACACGACAGTAAATCCGTAGCTATTTTTAAAATGAGACTCAAGTAGCACTATTTCTCCTCTGTTCCATCCATTTTATAGATATTATAATATGAAATATGTATTTATCTAAATATTTATATAGTCTGTAGTAATTTAATACGTTTGCTATTGTTTTTTTTTATTATTTTATTACGTAATTGAATTTTGTTTTGTTATGCGCGTAAACAGGTTATTGTAATTATTGGGTGCTGTATATTTGGTCTGCAGGAAGAAATTTCTTATAGAAATAAGCAGTACCTTATGTTTGTATTTTCCGGTCTATCAAATGTGATTTGTGTTTTTCTGTACAATAAATGATTAAATAAAGCAAAAAATAAATAAATAAATTATTAATTTATTATGCTTCCCCTGTTAACTGCATGAAAAAATATACAACACTAACGTAGGTATTTTTTTTTATTTCCTATATTTTATTTTTTTTATCATTGAAAGGGGTGTGTAATGTATCATATGAACATTCTTCACATAACGCTCAATTGGCATAATTTTACTCCCTATAAACTCGTTTAATATAAGTAATTCATTAAATATAAGGAACGTTTAATATAAACTCACATTCTATCATTTTCATTTTTAATAACGATTACTTACACCAACACTCATTTGTAACAACAATCATAAGTCATAAATCACAGTAAACATAACGACATTGTATCTAAATTTCATTTCATTTAGAAATAGAATTATTTCCGAAAAACAATATCCCTTATACTAATATTTAATTAAGAAAACGTTCGGAAACGCAAAGAAATCCGTTTCTGGCACTCGCCGGCTGCTGCCGCGGCACGCTCGTTTGGCTCGTCCTCCTTTTTTATGTTCTAACCTAACCTAACCTATTGAATGGGAGCCGGAACCAACATTTGACCTATGTCAAATATGTTTGTTTTATTGAAACCACCAAGGAATCTAGTCTAACAATCATAATTTTGCTATAATTATTAATGCGAAGATCGAACACTCTGAAAAAATTCCTTTGATCCAGTCGGATTCGATCCGACGTCTTCTAGCATGCCGTGGCAGACGCTATACCAACTAAGCACGGAACGAACCAGCGGACTTCACGAATTTTTCTATGTGCTTGTTGTTGTGTCTTTGTATTTGGTTTTTCAATGACTTCTGAGCGCCATCTATGAGAAATCTATGAAAGTATTTCTTCACCCTTTTACTTTACAGCTACTAGCCCCGGCTAGAGATGTCGCTATTCACTGTATTTGAATTTTTTTATTAACCGACTTCAAAAAATGAGGAGGTTCTCAATTCGACTGATGTTTTTTTTGTATGTATGTTACGCGATAACTCCGGTATTTGTGAACTGATTTTCATGATTCTTTTTTTGTTGGAAAGGGGGTACTTCCATAGTGGTCCCATTTTATTTTGAACATAATCATCCACCTCGAAGGGTGGCTGTTCACGCATGAAGATTCATTTTTATAAATAGCGCCTAAATTTTAGTAAGGAGCAATTATTTTAATGGTTGATTTTTGCTATTTCTGGAATCCAAGGCGTTTTTCTCTCCATATACTTTGAGTAGTGATAACCGATTTTTATTATCTCCAGTGTCAAGTCCTGTATAGTGGCGAATTTAAGGATATTTCAATAAAACTTAGCAAATAGACGTAATTCAACGCACTTTTGAGGCCGGTTTTTTTTAGTACTCTGTACTGAGATTATGGAATTGATATTCAATTATTTTTATTTTTACATATTGGAGGTGGTACAGTCATCAATCAGTTATGTCTAATATTAATGCAAACCACCCTATTTTTTTTCACTATAATTACAAAAGTTATTAATTACATACCTTATTTTTAATTTTACAAAGAAACATTCCAATTTACGCTACAACAGAATATGTTTTACAAATTATTTTATTTTAACAATATGAATTTTTATTAAGTTAAATTTATTATCAATGAATAATGAAAATTAGAATAAATTAAAACATATTAATTCGTACTGCATTCTTATGTCTGTTTGGGTTTTTTATCGAAGGAAATACTGGATCTCAAACAGGAGATACTGAGAAACCATCTTCCCTGTTGAAATTAGGATGTTTTTTAAGTTCAATGGCCTGTCGCAGCATCATGGGTAGATAACGGACTTCTTTTGCAAGGACCTGGGGTTTGTCAAACTTCATTGAATGTGTAGGTTTATCCATGACATGCTCGCATACGTTATTTAACTTTATTTTTATTATTTATTTACTTAGATTACAATAATTTATTATCTAGGTACTTGGCACTCTTGAACCTAAAAGGGTTTGTTTGAGTGTTGATCTATTCGTAATATTTATACACACATAATCTTATACGTACAGACATTGACTTTGTTGGTAGGTCAATGCAAAAAAAATAAAGATCAACGCACACAGACAATTTTTTTTTATATAAGATAGAGAAGCCAAAATTTTATTACACTATGACAACATTTATACATTAGTCAAATGAAATACGAACGTTTTACATGACAAACTAGTGCGTGCTAGTAAATCTATTTCGATAATAGCTTCCATGCGCAAAATAACAAGCTTGGGTTAAAATTAAATCAAATGTAGCATTTAACCGATTTGAGATAAGCACGTTACGCATAAATCATATACTATCAAATGTTAAACAGATATGACATTTCTTTTATCGCATCGCAAACCCTAATCCAACGCACTGCAATGATTTTACATTTGTAATTGATCACTTTACTGCCTACAATGTTCGTATCTGCACTGTTATATGTGACCGAGTGTGTCCACTTGCTACGGAAATCATTTACTATAGTTATCTTCAATTAGCAATTGTTATTCATTACCATAAACAGAGAAAACATGAAAATATAGCAATGGCATAAATATTTTTAGTCACTTGGGCGTGATATGAGATCCCTGTATTTTACCTTATCATCATAAGTAAAGCATTTTCTAATTAGGTTGGCTGAAACAAAGCCATATATTTTTTGTTTGCATTTTGTATGTAACGCATGTGATTAGGGCAAGTGTTAGATGAGTTAGGAAATTATGAATTTGACGACATACTGCTTATATTGAGTGATAAAATTATACCAATTTTTATTAAGAAATATTTATTATTGATTCACTACGAGTACAAAATATAATTGCACACGCACGGGTTGCCTCACAGAGGTAGTAGGTTCAAACAACATTTACAATCTCGCTGTTCAATATTTAATCTTTGATAAAAATACTAAAAGGGTTTCTTATCAAGAGATATTTTGTGTGATTTTTAGATATGTATGTATATTCAAACGACGTTGGCTGACATGCACGACTTCAATAGAACTTAATAAATGTTAAGTCTGAACCGACAATATAGTTTTGCGGTTGTTTAAAAGATGACCTAGTAACGTTATGTAAACAAAAAGGATTTTTAAAGAGTGCAATAAATGCAAGTATGTTTCGAGTGATTGTTATATTTGTCTTGTTTAGTCTGTCCTCTTCTCAAGAAGATTCTGAAAATATTAGCGAGATAGAAACTACTTCAACTACAGAAAGTGACTTTGGTAAGTGAATAATATAAAGCATGGAAACAGATTAGACAGTATAGATTGAAAAGATTTGTTTTAAGATATCAAGTAACGGGACGAACAAGTTGTGCACTGATGGTAAGCGACACGCCTTTCCATAACAGTTGCTTTATTACTCAGAGCTTTAAATGGTAGCTAAGGATTTGGGGTGCGTTAACTTAATTCACCTGAATTAATTCACCTAGGTGCATTAAATACACTTTTAGTAAACTCAAATCACGTGGATGCATTACATAAACATAAAAGTAAACTGTATTTACCACGATATTTAAGGACGCCAGGATTGAACTCGTTACATGGTAGAGATTTTAGGTAGTTTATTATAGTTTATTTATTTTAAGATATTAGGCATTATTTAGGTGCGCATGCTCCATTGTCGACCTCATCGTCACTTTCCATCAGGTGAGATGGAGGTCAAATGCGCACCTATATTCTATAAAAAAAAAGATAGGCCATAGCTCGCCATGCTAGTCCAATGCGGGTTCTTCATTGTGAACCTTCTTCGACATGCCGGTTTCATCACGAAGTTTTTCATCACCGTATCTCTAACGTGTGAGTTGAATCCTAGCGTCCTTAAATACCGTAGTGAATACACTTTACTTTTATGTTTATCTAATGCACGCAAGTGATTTAAGTTTACTTAAAGTGTACTTAATGCACCTAGGTGAACTAATTCGGGCGAAT